TTACTTACTACGAGCCCATATGGAAAAATATTCAGCTAAAGATGAGACTGTAAGCCCAAGTACAAGTCCATAAAACACTGTTACCAGAGCTATATGAAACAGTAATTTCTTGCTTTGTCAGTTAACTTGAACTTACTAGAATCCCAGATAAAAACAAAATATCCAGACAAAATTAGAAATATCCCTCCAAGCAGTACTAGTCCATAAATTCCTATAACTGTATAGATTAGAGCAAATAACTATAATAGCTAGTTGCTTACCAGATTTAAAGTGGAAAGCTAAATATCCTAATGAAGCAGAGAGCATTAGTCCAAGTAGTATAATAACAACAACAAACACTATTTTCGATGTAGACCAGTTATCTGACATAAGTAAATATATAATTATACTATAGTAATCATTATAATAAACAAAACTGATAGTAAAATACACCTCATACTCACTCATACACATGCAGTGGTTTTAAGTTTTTTTGGTTCTAATATTTAAAAATAAATATTTGGAATTAATTGAGAAGCCTTGTGGATGTCAATTTAGTAAATTGGGAAGTTATTTACAAATTTTTCCAAATAAAAAAATATGTGACATCAGTGCCCATCAGGAGGTCGCTTTGTGCATAAAACTCTCCATTATATACCTGAGGGAATGTTCCTCAATGATCCATCAATGCATAGTGTTACTGGACGATGTACACCTTTCAATGGTACATCGTAATATAACATAGGGACAGTAGTAGAAGAAGGTGAACCATGAACCAATATCACTAAATTAGGAGGGAAAGGATCACGTGCACCGAACTGATCAATGTCTTCTTTATATAACTACAATAATTAATGAACATTCTGAGCTTAAGAGTGAAAACATTTATATTCATGCTACACCTCTCAAATAAATAATTCACAGGCCAGTAGTGTATATAGGTATAAAAAAAATTAGTATTAATATTAAATTAATATTAAAAAAAATTAGATGCACATAATAGATGCACATTATAGATGCACATAATGTGAATCAGCTGAAATATTGCTGGATTCTCACAAATTTTATGCTTGTAAATCTTTTAAAAAATTATAAATATACAGGCATTTAGGGCCCTCAAAATCATTGTAAGCATTGTGAGTATGGTTTTAATGGGGGGATTTATAAATAAAAACAAATTTCCTTGCTGGTTAAAGAAATAAAATTTTGTGTCAATAAACAAATATCATGTACACATATTTTGCTTACCCTGCAAGGCTTAACACGTGATTGAATGGTCCAACCAGTGAATGGATACGTCTGTTGAGTGTCATCTAATATTAGCTCAATACAGTCAGATGAGTCTCCAAATCGATAATTAATATTCTGTCTCATCTTAGCTTTAGCATAATATTTCTTAATAGGCTATTAACAATAAACAATACAGACTCATTATTATAACAATAAAATATCAGCCATTACTTCAATGAGAGCATTTAATTTTTTAGCAGTAGTGAATGTCACCTCATCATTATCTTCATCATTTGCCTCATAATACAACATACCAATATATGTCACTGATTGTGCTGATACACCAGTAGTAAGGGTTTCTAGAAACAATCAGCAAAGAACCATCAATGCCATATTACCAATAGTAATTTTGATTGTACTAACTTTGAAGTTCCTTAACATCTTTTTGTGGCTCCAATGGCTCCATTTTTTTTTCTTTATGCTCTTCATTATTAACTCTTTCTTCGTCATAATTACTTCCCATTCTTTCTTGTTGCTGCTGCCATCCCTTCTCTTCAAAATGAACTCCTCCATTCTCCTCTCCTTTTTGCTTTTGCTCCTCCTCTCCTTCCTCTCCTCCATTACTCTTGATTCCCACAATACTAACAAGACAAAACTCCCTTCGGTTGATAGACCCGTACCAATTCATCTCATTAAATTCCCCTCTGTCAACAAGTGAGAAATGGTAAGGAAGACCAGGTTTGCTGATAGGAGCTATGGCAAACTTCAAATAACTGCTAATACCTGGTTCTGCTGTAATATTAACACAATGTTGGATCTCAAGTCTCATAGGTTTAAGGAGAGGTCTGGAAACAGAGACTGCATACACAGCACTAACGAGTATTGTGTTCTCAGGAAACACAAACTGTCCTCCTACAAGAGCGACTACAGCAACTTCAGCTGTCTCTGTTGATGGTAGGGTTCCTTCAAATACTCCAATTCTTAGCCCATACCTCTCCCAGTTTAGCAGTTGAGGTCTGTCTCCATGTATCAGGAACAGTTGCTTACTGGCTATGTGAACATCACTGAGACCTGCTAACTTATCTGCAATGTACAACACATGGCCATTATTATACATGCATTATTGTATAAAGTTATTGATAAACATTAACAATATACCTGTAATTTGTGGGCCTGGTTCAACAT